CCTCGCACTTGCTAGACTGTGGGCTCTGGGCTCTGTGCGAGACTGTGGGCGAAGTTGCGCAGACTGTCGGCTCGGGGCTCTGGCGCACCAACTCCTTTTTTTCTAGTGGCTGAACTGCCCTTCAAACCCCACTTGCTGGGCTGTGGCACACCATTTCCCTTTTTCTCGTGGTCCGCAACGGCCTCTCTGGGCTATTTCTTGCCTATCGTCTTCTGCACGTTCTTCTTTTGGTCTTTCACCTTTCCAGCGGTGACGTAAAACTGGTTGCCGCACACTGTCCGGTGATTAATTTGTCCCGTCGTGACATTGCTTGCGACCAGGCCACCACAATGCGGGCAGGTGTACTGATGCTTTTTCTTTTCTTTGACAGTTCCATCCCTGACGCAAAACCGGTTGCCGCACACTGTCCGGTGATCAATTTGTCCTGTCGTAACATTGCTTGCGACCAGGCCCTCACAATGCGGGCATGTGTATTCATGCTTTTGCTTTTCTTTGACTTTTCCAGCCCTGACGCAAAACCGGTTGCCGCACACTCTCCGGTGATTAACTTGTCCCGTCGTAACATTGCTTCTGACCAGGCCCCCGCAATGCGGGCATGTGTACTCATGCTGTTTCTTTGCTTGGACTTTTCCGTCACTGACGTAGAACTGCCTGCCGCACACTGCTCGGTGATCCACTTGTCCATTGGCTATCGTGCTCTCCACGGTCGCCTTACAGTGCGGGCATATGTACTGGCATGTCTTGGTGCCTTGGCTAGCGAGAGTCATGCTGCCTTGGCCATCGAGACCCTGTGGCAGTTTCCCACGCTTCCTCACCGGTTCCTCCCTTGCCTGTTCTGGCTCTGCGCGCTTACGTTTGATTTCTGCTAAGACTTCCGCGATGATGCGTTCATGCTTGCGCTGCTCTACTTTGGCACGCGTGACGGCCAGGCGGGCCACGGCTTTTGCCGCCGTGCCCCGTGGAAGCTTTGGCGGTTGGCTTTCCTGGCTTCTGAACTGGGTCTCGGGGCCCCGCACTGCAAAACACGCGTTCGCCTTTTGCGTCGTGCCTTGCGGGCGCGTTGCGTGCCCATGGGCCTGGCTCGTGCAAGCCAAGCATACTCGGGATCCACCTCGCGTGCGCAGCCATGCCGTCGGCGCAAACCCGGCCTTCGCTTTGCGCCGGCCGCACTGTGCGCACACCTTCGTCTCTTCGCACGTCTGACACACGCGGTAAAACGTGCACTGCGGGCGCCGGTACTTGGCGACAAATGCATCTTCTTGCTTCCACATGTAGCAGGCCATGCATTGCCAAGGCTGCATCATCGCCCCGTAACGTTGGAGACATTCTTTGCAGATTCTTGACCGTGGATTGTGTGTGCCACTTTCTTGCTCTTACTCTTCGTCAGCCATTCCCATGGGACATCCCCTAAAA